TGAAATGTAAACTGATACCTAAACACAAGGCATGCTCTGCAAGCCTTCTTCCACTTGTTATACAGCTTGAACAAACACTATTGAGATGGACTGTCTCGTCGTAGCCGATGTGCTTGAGGGCGCTTACTGGAAGCGGTCGATGTAGAGAGTACCGTTCTCCTTGATGCAGTGGCTCTGCTTGCAGCCCGAGTTACGGCTGCTCCACACAGCACCCACGGGGAATCTCTTGCCGATCTGGTGGTCCTCGCACTCATCACCTGCAAGCAGACCAGTGCCACAGTCAGACCACGGCACCGGTCGCAACGCCACCCCCCACCTCGACACGTGATGTAAACCAACATATCGTGGCACAAGATCGCTGCGTAACAGCGGCCGACCGTATGGAATCTCGTGTCTCTTGTGGAGTCCCGTGATTTATAGCCAAAGTCTCGTGCGGCCGATAGCGGTGGCCCTGTCATGCCCTGCGTCCCAAACTGCCAGGCATTAATGCGTGGCTGTGTCTCGGTGGAGTGGCTGTACATGATTACGAAGCAGGCGACGAATTGCTGAGATTACAAAAGCGAACCATCACGCAAAGAAACATTGCAGAACAGCAAAGCGAAGAATTTTAAACTGTCGATAGCAGATCATACCTTGGTGATACTATTCTGCTATAGTTACATGATTGCTAAGCAGACGACAAATTGCTGAGATGTCTTGAACTGATGGCGAGTGCTTTAGCGGCGCCCGATTTGTAACTTCCTTATGCAAATAGCAGCTGACGGAGTCATCCGAACGCTGCAGCACTCACCTTTTCCAACGGGGAACTTGAAGTACCTCGGGTACTGTTGAGCCAAGCAGAGTTGCGCCCCGAGAACCAGCAGAACTGCGAACTTGATCATGTTGGCCGACGTTGCGGTCGGTGGTGCTGCGCTGCTCTAGCCGCTGTGCGCCGTTGCTCGGGCCGTCTGTACCTCTCTCACCGCTGGCACGCCAGTTATATAGCGACGGCGGAGGGTGGGCGGGCGCGCCTGGGGTGTGCACCCACTCCACCGCCGGGGGCGGTGTTCAGACAGGGAATCCCCGCGCCGCCCGGCCGGTCCTATATGGCGCCACGGCTCGCGCGGTCCGGCGGTGCTCCCCGTCCTGTCTGGCGCCAGCGAGGGGCCCAGCGAGGGGAGGAGGTCAACACTCTCGGCGAAAGATACTTGAAGAAAACTCATGGAGAAATGCTTAGGACATCCGCCCTTTGCGTGAATTGTTATTTCATCTGAGTTATGGAATCAATTGCATAGGAGTCTGGCCACGACCTGACATACCACGGGTGACGTCACGGTGAATGGGGCCTCTTTATCATTGCTGGCACCCTAAAGCAGTGCTCAGGCTCTTATAGATATGTGGCCGGTCTCATGGACACAAACAAAGCGGAAAAACAGTTCTTACAACAGAATTGGCTGAAAATATGCAAAATTCCCCCCCCAAACTTAAGATGCCAAACAAACATGAACAACAATTACAGTTGAAAATCAACGAAGCCCGTTAAGTCTCTTTAAAAGTGCTGAACGTGAAAAGTCAGCATGATGCCGCCTAGGGCTATCGAAAGGCAACAAGACCTGAAGTACATTACCGTCTTCCTGATAGTACTCAACATATCACACCACTCGAAAGAGATTTTACACGCTCCTGACACATTTTGAGAATTAATGAGCTCAGCAGACCAGTACTAACACTACGCCATTATTCTTTTTCATTCTGAAAATCCTGTGTTGTCCGTGCGCCATCGGATATGCAGCTGATTCCGTAACTCACATTTTTCCATTAAGATTTGAACAACATTAGGATGTTTTCCACATGTGGCGACAAACGTAGCTTCCAGAGAGCAGTCACTGGACAATCAGCACGATATGTAGACAAATGGTGCCTCGGCTCACCTGAATGGCGCCGTATGAGAAAGATAGGAACGCGCTGTCATAGCGCGTAAACAGAATGCGTTTCTTTGGCAAGAATAGCCAAAGCAATTTCCAGCCTACTCTCACCATACAGCAAATCCAGCCGTCACGCTCGAATGTGCTCACGATCTTCGTTCTTTCACTTGTCGAAAGGGGTCTGACTGTCGGGGCGTTCTGTTTTCATTCGAAACCTAAAACTGAAAAAAAATGTGAGAGCTAATCCAGCGTTGTGTAATTCTTGACAGTCTTTAACTAAGACTTCGAATTCAAAAATGTCTGATGTTGTGCAACAAGAACACTGAAGCCTATTTGTGCATCGAAATATTCCGGAGTACGAGTTCCTTCGAACATCTGCTGACAACGAAGTTTATCCAGAGCCAAAAAGGGCATTTGATTGTAATGTTGGCACAAATGCATTCGGGAGGACTACCGCACCAAATCCAGGGCCAGTGGCGCAGAATGTCCTGTTCATCCCCTGAACCAGACGAAAGCGCCGAAGAAAAGAGGTGGGCATTTAAGTGGCCCTTTTGAGCAAGACACTTTGACGAGGGTTGCTGTCAGTGAAAACAGTGGTTCAAACGTTATGCAGATTACCAGGGTTTAGTCCTTGTGCGGCGCCAAAACCGGTACCAAATCGAAGTGGAATTTTGCCAAACCTCATTTTTCCTCTTACAGTACCAAAAAGTCCACTCAAGCGCCAAAAATACACTTCCGGAGCCAATGGCACTCCTACCTTTGTTTTACGAATTTCACGCGATTCGACAGATCAACAGAAAACGTTTCAGTATCAAGTTTGAGGAGATTTAAAAGGCGGAATGGTTGAGTTATCAGCACCTTTGGCACAAATGTACAAGCCCCGGTTGAATCTCGTTTGTATCATGATCTTTGAGCACCATTTTGGCTGCTGCATTCGCTGGCGCTCTATGAAAAGGCGGAAGATGCCGTACTTCGCGTTCGTGAAACGCGATACAACAGATGAAAGAGGCGATACAAAATATGTTTATTAAATCTCCTCCCCGACGCAGCCTTGCACGTCGAGCGTGCAGGGTACAAACTCTTCAGCGCGCGCCGCTATCGGAAATGATAATGCAGAGGTGTTTGCATTCAGGTGGCAGAAAACACTCGAAAGGCCAGCTAAGTCATATGCCGTTTATCACGTCATATTCATTTCACCACGTTGTTTGTTTCATTCTTAAGAAGCGATCCTATTTATCGTATGTGGCTAAAGAGCATCGATTTATTCTGGATGAGCTTAAAATTATTTGTTACCCCCGCAAGGGCACAGTGCCCTTCCACCCCCACCCCCCCCCTCCTCTTCTCTACCACGCGGCTGCAGGGCACCATTAAGCATCCATGACGAAGATAAAATTCAGCGCCACTTGATGATCCACTTCAAAACTAGTTGTGAGCGTAGCAGTTGATGCTTCCGCCATCACGTGCCTTTGCACAACAATTATAGGTTGCATGTGCGAGACGCTCACTTTGTGGGGTCACACTATCCTTGCCAATGTCGCGATGTTGCTAATGACAATTTGACGGGTTCGTTAGGTTTGTCATTTGTCAATTTTAGTCGTCCTGCCGATGCGATCTCGTCATGGTGCTGTGATATGTATTGTATTTTGCGTCTCTTATTATAATGTGATCCCTAAGGTGCAGTCAAACGATCTTATTCGCATTTGTGAGCAATATAACACAGCTGCTTTTACCTTTGCTAGTGAGAACGCGTTTTCCTTACGCCAACGAAATTGCGGTGTGTGTGCTTTACTGGCACTTGACTAACTCTTGGCGTGTGGACACCTCAGGTAGGTGCTCCTCCAAGCATACCTTATATGAGTGTTTTCAGCAACAGCTCAGCGGCGTCATTTCACATAGGATCACAGCCGTTTTGCAGGTTTCATATACGCTTTGAGTATGTGTAAAAGTGACCGAGGTGTAGCACTCGAGAAAGCATCGTCTGAGCTACAACAATGTAGCGAAGGTCTTTTTTAAGCGTTGCCTAGGGGACTATCGCATTTTTGGAGTGTTTGTATTGCGAAGGTGTTGAGGAATACAAGCAAGGAATATTCGATGTAGGTGTGCTTCAACGCCCGCACCGAGGCGTAATGTTACGCTGGATCAGCCACACCGGTAGTGTGGGCCTTAAGGGGAGTGTGTCTAGTCAAATAAGGATTTTTTTACGGTTCACCTAAGATGGCATGAAATTTCTATTTACAAATTAAAAAAACTCGGAATTTCGATTTGCAATGTACAAACTTGTTAAGCCACGGAGAAAAATGACAAAGCCTTGCACCTGTGCAAGGGATCAGGATATGGTCCAATACACAAGGCTGGACTTGAATGTCACCAATCGCTGCTGAAGCTCTTTACGCATAAGACGAGCGTCTTCTGTTTTAAACACATAGCTGGAAACATTGTTTTTTTTGCTATTTTGTAGCGTCTCAACATACGATAACATTGCTTCAAGTTCAACAGTAGGCTTCCTGCAGCAGGATTTCGTACCGCCACTAGGTCTTCAGTTTTCATCACGTCATGTCGTTGCTACGCTGGGGAACTATGCATGCAGAATCGACAGTGAGCTCGTGTGAGCAGCAGCAGAATCGACAGTGAGCTCATTCACTGACTTCGAGTCCCAGAACTACGTTCCAAGAAGTTTCGGACTCGGAGTAAATTGCAGTCACGTCTAACAGACAGCTACATACACACTCGAAATATGCATACTTAAACCACTGTCAGGGATGTCCGTAAGAGACCTTGTCTTAAATCCCAGGTGGTTGCGTAAGCTAGCATGCGCTGTTAATAAACAACGGAAGCTGTTTCCAACACGACGCAAAAATGAAGCGCCACCGGGCTCCAGTGCTACTATTCCACAAAAATACTGTTTCGTGGAAACCAATTGATGATAATAACTTAACAAGTCTGCAACTGTCTTCGGCAGGTAGAAATATCACATTCGTATCACAAACAAGCCTTCATTTCATGTTTACCATGCGTTTTCCGCAAGCAATGGACTGCATTCAGAGCAAAGGATACTCGTCCTCAGGGAGAGCGACCAGCTTGCCCTTAACGTAGCGTTTACACACAAGGCGGGGACAGCAGTCCGGAAACGCCTTCCTGCGGTCTACCCAGGCCAGCCTGCAGATTGTCCGCCTTCAGCTTCTTGTAATCCACCCGCTTCCTGACCGACGGGCACCTGCAAAAAGAAGAAAATCATCTGTTATTTCCCATAGTGGTATCCACTTCTCAAAGACCAAAAAATCGGTCTTCAGAACACTGAACCATTCCCAGGGCCAATTTTACCCTTGGATCATGTTAAAACATGAACTGATATCTATATGCCAGACATGCTCTGCAAGCCTTCTAACGCTTGTTACACAGCTCGAACAAACACTATTGAGATGGACTGCCTCGTCGTAGCCGATGTGCTTGAGGGTGCTTACTGGAAGCGGTCGATGTAAAGAGTACCGTTCTCCTTGATGCAGTGGCTCTGCTTGCAGCCCGAGTTAGGGCTGGTCCACACAGCACCCACGGGGAATCTCTTGCCGATCTGGTGGTCCTCGCACTCATCACCTGCAAGCAGACCAGTGCCACAGTCAGACCACGCCCGGTCGCCTCGCCACCCCCACCTCGGCACGTGATGCAAACGATGGCACTGCGACGCCCTGCGTCCCAAACTGCCAGGCATTGAAGCGTTACTGTATCTCGGTAGGAGTCCGTCACAAAGCTGAACCATCACGCAAAGAAACATTGCAGAACAGCAAAGCGAAGAATATCAAACTGCCGATAGCAGATCATACCTTGGTGGTACTATTCTGCTATAGTTACATGATTGCTAAGCAGACGACAAATTGCTGAGATGTCTTGAACTGTTGGCGAGTGCTTTAGCGGCGCCCGATTTGTAACTTCCGTATGCAAATAGAAGCTGACGAAGTCATCCGAACGCTGCAGCACTCACCTTTTCCAACGGGGAACTTGAAGTACCTCGGGTACTGTTGAGCCAAGCAGAGCTGCGCCCCGAGAACCAGCAGAACTGCGAACTTGATCATGCTGGCCGACGTTGTGGTCTGTGGTGCTGTGCTGCTCTAGCCGCTGTGCGCCGTTGCTCGGGCCGTGGGCCGTCTGTACCTTTCTCACCGCTGGCACGCCGGTTATATAGCGGCGGCGGAGGGCGGCGGGCGCGCGTGGGGTGTGCGGCCACCCCACCGCCGGAGGCGTGTTCAGACAGGGAATCTCCTCGCCGCCCGCCCGGTCTTGGCCACGGTGAGACTCTCTGGCACCACGACTCGGCGCCCCGGTGGCTCCCCGTCCTGCCCGGCGCCAGCGAGGGGACCCTTCACGACTGCCGTTGGCTGCTGAAGACTGTCTGCTGATCGTCAATTTGCTCATCTTGTGTCACACCAGAAATCGAAGAATATTCCTCTTACTGGGTGGAGGATTTGTACTATCTTTATTAGCGATCATGCAACAGCAACCGGTTGAGCTCTGGCGAAATTCTGTTGAAATCTTTCCACATCTTGTAACGTACGTTGGCTGCAAACAGGCAGTAGATGATTGAGCTTACTTATCCTGCACAGATCACCATGTTTGGAACGGAGGGCGAGGAGAACATTGTGGTCTCGATCTCGGCATATCTACTCGTGGCGCCGTAAATGTCCTGGCGATTTCAGCACGTCTATTTGTGGCACCATGAATGTCCCGACGATCCCGGTATATCTGCCTGCGGCGCCGTAAACGCTCCGACGCCCTTTCATGAGACCGGAATCACTAAGACGTATATTGTCACTAACCATTGCTACCCAAGCTTGCATGATCCCGATACACACCGTCAAGTGAACTTTTGCTAGGGTCCTGCTTTTTGGGTTCAACAATTCGCAAACATTGGAGATAAGAACTTTAGCAGGCAGTCATCTGCTTCCTTTTCCCTTGAAAACCGACTGCTTTGTAGATGCAGATGACATGAGACCTTGTTCTCCCAGCGGAGATCTCCTTCAGACGTGCGGCTTCTTCAGGAGACGACCTGGCTGGAGGTCGGCACTCCCGGAGACAGACACTTGAAGAGAACTCATGGAGAAGTGCTTGCGATATCCGCCCTCTGCGCGAATTGCTATTTCAGTTGAGTTTTGAAATCAACTGCATAGGAGTCATGCCACGACCTGACATACCTTAGGTGACGCCACGGTGAATGGGGCCTCTTAATCATTACTGGCATCCTAAAGCACTGCTCAGGCTCCTTCAGATCTATGGCTGGCCTCAACACAAACAAAGCGGAAAGACAGTTCTTACAAAGCTGGTCGAAAATTTGCAATCTTAAAAGAGTGAAAGCAATAGATACATGAGCAACAATTGCAGCTTGACATCAACGGCTTCACGCTACGGCTCTGTGAACGTGCTGAAATTGAAGAGCCAACATGATGCTGCCCACACCTACCGCAAAGCGGCAAAACCTCAAGAACATTGCCGTCATGCTGAGTATATTCGATAGATCACACCTCTCGAAACGGAATTAACATACTTCTGACACGTTTTGAAAATCAAGAGACTAAGCAGACTCGTGCCAACACGCTGACAGCATCCTTTTTCATCCTGAAGATTCTTGGGTGTCTGTACGCCATCCGGGGTGCGTCCAAAAAGATCTGAACAACAATGGAATGCCGTCCTCATATGACGCCAAACGCACCTTTAAAGGAGCATTCCCTGGATAATCAGCGCGATGTGTAGGAACATGGCTCTTCGGCTTGCCTGAGTGGCGCCATGCGAGAAAGATAGGACCGCGCTGTACTAGCGCGCAGACTGAACGTATTTCAAGTTGTCCTTTCTTACGCCTTCAAAAGCAGCAACAGAAATGTAATATTTGTCCATAGGAGTGCTCTTTCGCTCAGCAAGTGGTGTACATTTACAAATCTCCGCGGCCTAACTCGGAATAAAATTTTCGATAGTCCCTGCAACGAATCAATTGTTGCGTAAATACAAGTGAACGGCATGGTGGCTTGAGGTTTTTCATCGATTCGGAAAGTTGCTTGAGTTACAGTGTGTTTACTGTTACGTGTATTTTGTCTCGTGTCTCGATTTTGATATATAAATTCTTGATGAGCCAAGATCATCTAGAAACGTGACGAGGAGGAAACTGACAGACCGGCTTTTAAAAGACTGGCGCCATTGCAACAAGGAAGGATGTGTTTCTATGATAACAAAGTTTTGTTGGAAACCATAAATTTGCTGTGTGCGTTTTACCTATACGTCGTAGCTTTTCTCTCGCTGGAAATATTGCTTCATTTTTGCTGTTCGATCGTAGCATGTAAACATACCATGGTAGTGTTTCATGGTTGACAGTAGGCTCCAAACATAGGCTTCCAACCGAAACTTTATTTTCAGATGTTCTTCACTTCAAGTCATTGTCCAGCGGGTAAAATTACGCATGCAGAGCCGACAGTGCGCTCGTTCTTAGCAACTAGTTTCTGACTCGAAACAAATCTCACTTCCGACAGAGGTGTAATTAGGAGCTGACAGCCATATAACTCGCATGACATGCTTAAACCATTATGTCATGGATGTCTGGGGAAACACTGCTTAAATTGCAGGTGGTTTGATGAGTTAACATATGCACTTAACACAGAACCTCTTCACGAAACAAAGCGCCACAAAGCTACGCTACAGGCACTGGTGGTACCATTCCACAAAACTACTGTTTCGTGAAAAAAACTACTGATAACTATAACGTATCAGGTTTGCGACTGTCTCCGGCAGCTAGAACTATCACCATCGTATCACAATCAAGTCGTTATTTCAATGTTACCGCACGCCATCAACTGCGCTCAGAGAAAAGGGTACTGTCCTCAGGGAGAGCGACCAGCTTGCCCTTAACGTAGTGTTTACACACAAGGCGGGGACAGCAGTCCGGAAATGCCTTCCTGCGGTCTCCCACGGCCTCTCTGCAGAACAGGTTGTCCGCCTTCAGCTTCTGGAAGTCCACCCGCTTCCGCACCTGGGGGCACCTGCAGAAAGAAAAAACTATGTGTTATTTCCCACAGTTGCCTCTCAAAGACCAAAATCCTCGTCGCTCAGAGCATCAGGCCACTCCCAGGGCCGATTTCGCTTCTGGAGTATGCTTGAAATGTAAACTGATACCTAAACACAAGGCATGCTCTGCAAGCCTTCTTCCACTTGTTACAGCTTGAACAAACACTATTGAGATGGACTGTCTCGTCGTAGCCGATGTGCTTGAGGGCGCTTACTGGAAGCGGTCGATGTAGAGAGTACCGTTCTCCTTGATGCAGTGGCTCTGCTTGCAGCCCGAGTTACGGCTGCTCCACACAGCACCCACGGGGAATCTCTTGCCGATCTGGTGGTCCTCGCACTCATCACCTGCAAGCAGACCAGTGCCACAGTCAGACCACACCGGTCGCAACGCCACCCCCACCTCGACACGTGATGTAAACCAACATATCGTGGCACAAGATCGCTGCGTAACAGCGGCCGACCGTATGGAATCTCGTGTCTCTTGTGGAGTCCCGTGATTTATAGCCAAAGTCTCGTGCGGCCGATAGCGGTGGCCCTGTCATGCCCTGCGTCCCAAACTGCCAGGCATTAATGCGTGGCTGTGTCTCGGTGGAGTGGCTGTACATGATTACGAAGCAGGCGACGAATTGCTGAGATTACAAAAGCGAACCATCACGCAAAGAAACATTGCAGAACAGCAAAGCGAAGAATTTTAAACTGTCGATAGCAGATCATACCTTGGTGATACTATTCTGCTATAGTTACATGATTGCTAAGCAGACGACAAATTGCTGAGATGTCTTGAACTGATGGCGAGTGCTTTAGCGGCGCCCGATTTGTAACTTCCTTATGCAAATAGCAGCTGACGGAGTCATCCGAACGCTGCAGCACTCACCTTTTCCAACGGGGAACTTGAAGTACCTCGGGTACTGTTGAGCCAAGCAGAGTTGCGCCCCGAGAACCAGCAGAACTGCGAACTTGATCATGTTGGCCGACGTTGCGGTCGGTGGTGCTGCGCTGCTCTAGCCGCTGTGCGCCGTTGCTCGGGCCGTCTGTACCTCTCTCACCGCTGGCACGCCAGTTATATAGCGACGGCGGAGGGGGGGCGGGCGCGCCTGGGGTGTGCACCCACTCCACCGCCGGGGGCGGTGTTCAGACAGGGAATCCCCGCGCCGCCCGGCCGGTCCTATATGGCGCCACGGCTCGCGCGGTCCGGCGGTGCTCTCCCCGTCCTGTCTGGCGCCAGCGAGGGGCCCAGCGAGGGGAGGAGGTCAACACTCTCGGCGAAAGATACTTGAAGAAAACTCATGGAGAAATGCTTAGGACATCCGCCCTTTGCGTGAATTGTTATTTCATCTGAGTTATGGAATCAATTGCATAGGAGTCTGGCCACGACCTGACATACCACGGGTGACGTCACGGTGAATGGGGCCTCTTTATCATTGCTGGCACCCTAAAGCAGTGCTCAGGCTCTTATAGATATGTGGCCGGTCTCATGGAAACACAACAAAGCGGAAAAACAGTTCTTACAACAGAATTGGCTGAAAATATGCAAAATTCCCCCCCCCAAAACTTAAGATGCCAAACAACAATGACAATTGCAGTTGAAAATCAACGAAGCCCGTTAAGTCTCTTTAAAAGTGCTGAACGTGAAAAGTCAGCATGATGCCGCCTAGGGCTATCGAAAGGCAACAAGACCTGAAGTACATTACCGTCTTCCTGATAGTACTCAACATATCACACCACTCGAAAGAGATTTTACACGCTCCTGACACATTTTGAGAATTAATGAGCTCAGCAGACCAGTACTAACACTACGCCATTATTCTTTTTCATTCTGAAAATCCTGTGTTGTCCGTGCGCCATCGGATATGCAGCTGATTCCGTAACTCACATTTTTCCATTAAGATTTGAACAACATTAGGATGTTTTCCACATGTGGCGACAAACGTAGCTTCCAGAGAGCAGTCACTGGACAATCAGCACGATATGTAGACAAATGGTGCCTCGGCTCACCTGAATGGCGCCGTATGAGAAAGATAGGAACGCGCTGTCATAGCGCGTAAACAGAATGCGTTTC